CTAAAACGATGAAAGAGTCAAGAATTTCCCGCCTTGACTCGGTCCGAGTCAGATACCCCGAGTCAACATGTCCGAGTCAGATACCCCGAGTCAACATGCCCGAGTCAGAAGATTGGGCTGGGCCGAATTCCTATGTCATGTGATTTATATATTGCAATGCAAAGTCAATCAAATACCCATTAGCTGATAGCTTATATATCCATTTGGATCCCACCTACAAACCACTTTTTATGAGGAAATCTCTAGCTATGGGTTTGTCGAATTAGCGTGAACATAATGCGGAATGAGTTCTTACGGAAATTCTAGCACTTGATTCAAGTATGGATATCGTGTTTGAGCTATTCGTACCGTCAACTTCGAGAGCAGATTCTGAACTCAAAGAACGAAACCCGGAGCAATAGTTAACCGGTAGCCCTTTAGAGACAGTTGCTGCTCGCACTCGTGTCGTCATCGAGAGGGCTCCCTCCTCACCCTACATTACCAAGAAAACATTCTATGTCATTATTCCCAGTCAAAGACATGTTACGATTCGTAATCAAAAGAGTTTTTCAGGTTCTATGTTTCTATGTGCTGTAGCAGATCAGAAGGAAAGGGTTGACCTTAATCACCAATCCCGAATGTACACCTCTTCTTCTCATAAGCATTAACAAAGGCTCTTCGTAGCCTTCATGGTAAAACCCAGCCACAATCGCTTCCTTCCCTGTGGCCTGCAGTGGAAACAAGTCCATGAAATTCCGCATACTTTAAGCCTTCACTCATGCCTTTACCAAAAAAATTCCTAAAATATGTTTCTATCATCATAAACTATAAGTGCAGAAATATAATGAAGCACGAAAATAAAGGACATAAAAGCCATCTCAGGCTATTGATGGCTGAATCAGGGATATGTGATTTTTTCCCACTAATGGCCGGTCAAACAATGGTCTATCATGTGTGACGAAGTTCGGTTTAGTGACCTAAACCTGTTTCAATGATACCGCTTAAATAGATCACTCATGACTCATCACTAGTATAGTAATGAAAACCACTCACCACACCAGTAAACAATCGTCACAAAAATCTACCAGATAATGGTCATAAAGAATAAAGATCCAGTAATTGGGCATTCAGAAGCCCATCACCATACATGTGTAGACGATAAGAATCCAAAAGCAAGCACCCATGCTAGAGGGTCCAGAACCATCATAACCATAAAAGATCAAAAAGTTCCCAGAAATAGTAAAATTCTGGCTGTCATAGAATCCTTACCCTCACAAATTGTTGAACTTTCTCTGTCGTTGCCAGTGGAGGGCGTTTCTTTATATGCTCCCTTACCCCAACCAAAGAATAACTACAAGGCAGAAACAAAATTTTCGTAAATACATCCAAATTTTGTTTCCAATACTACCCCACTACTGGTGTCTAAGAAGACCGGAAGAGGAGCATGTATCAACATAACCATTGATGTAAAAATAACAAAGAAATGGTTAAAATGAGTGTTACTTAGATGTCATACAAGGATGGTCGAGCTTCCCGTAGACTAAGATATGCAAATCCAGCCTTCTCGTCCTGAAAGAAGAAAAATGGGATTTTAAATAACACAAGAAAACAAATTAAAGACTGGAAGGTAAAAAGAGGGAACGAACGCCATGGCAAATAAATTAACACTACTATTGGCACCTCGATGAGTTCCTTTGCATGCTGAAGGGACAAGCTTGTATTTGCTCCCATAAACTTTAGCATTTGTTCTTCAGTCACACCCCCCTGAACAAACCAGAAAGAATTAGATAATCTTTATACATGTTACAATTCTAACGATGGTACAGAGCATCATATTGAGGAAAATCAGAATACTTAAGACATATAATCCATGAGAACAAACAATTTTGACTTATGATTACTTTAGGTGGCATCCATTCCACCCCATGAAGCATTGAAGATTCGCCATAGCAGGATCTAACTGCAGCAACAAACAAGGTGCTTCGAAAGTAACGAGTATTTCCATCATAAGGCTCGCCATAATGGGTTAATGATTTGACGTCAGCAACTGGAGGAGCTCCTGCCAAATACTCAAAAGGTATTTGAACTGGGATTAGAACCTTGTAATCTTCCCTGGAATACTAATTATTTCATGAAAAAATGAACTTAATCTAAAAAAATCTACCAAGTTCATCATCCAATGCGAGGCAGTAAGCTTTAAGCTCGCGATCTGTTTCTCTGTTCATACGTTGGCCGATCAAAAAAGCAGAAAGCAAGGCCTCACTAACTCCTGAGGATAGACTATCTTCTGTCACGAGTGGAAGAACATCTCTTAAAACACCCTGGACCTCTTCATACCCTAGGTGCCCTCCAGCTAAAATTTCTCTTAGGGCACCAACCAGTCTCATTTCAGTAGTTCCATTGCCTGCAAAATTTGGTCCAACTGAATTCCCCACACCCATAATAGAGCCTTCAGGATCCGCAATGAAGAGAACATCAGAAGGCAGCACTCGAGCCAGGAGTGGCCAGAGCACACTCATCGCCCGCCGTTCACCTTCACTCCATTGAGTTTCCTCAGGGAAAGCATTTGCACGGATAGTCATCGCAGCAAAAAACGCTCCCAGTTGCGCGTTAGAAACTGGTTCTTCGTTTTTTAGTTCCCCTCTAGCTGCAGACCCAGTGGATCAATGGAAAGAGGCCAAGCGCGATGCATAAGAACTCTATAGAACAAATATATGTAAAAACCTAACATCCAACACTAGCAGCCGAAATTATAAGAAGGCTACACAACTGAGATATGGAAATGATGTCAAGTGATGGGCGTGATAAACAGGTAATATTTCTTTCTTGCTTTTTTTTTAACGAACATATTGCGTCATAAAGATCTTTGGCAACACAAGAATGAGCCAGAAGAGTGCAAATCTAAAATACTTGGCTAATTGCAAATAGATCATCCGAATTTGTGTAACACCATTGGTGAGAAGGAAGATTCTATACAGGTAATATACGAAAATCGAATCTTCCACAGCTGCCATTAAAAGGGGGACATGATTCCCTATCCCATCAGCCATAAATTCAAATGGGTCAAGTCAAATTAGAGACGAAAATTTTCACCTGATCGTAATATAGTATCAAGCACCTTGAAAGCCTGTTCTTCGGTGAGGGGTCTGGTCTGCGTGGGTCCGGTGCAAACCCTAGCTTGGGCGTCAAGCACGGTTTGGTTCGGCTTCGCAAGCGTCGACCTCCTGTAAGAAGAAGAGACAGCGGGGTTCACAATATCGGATTCCTTTAGCCCTAACTGCTCCATGATTGAGGAATCCAAAACGGCACTCACGGCCAAACCACCGGCGAGCCTCCGCCGCGACGGACGGCATCGATCGCTCAGAGGGAAGCGGAGACATGAAGAACTCGGCCCGTCGAAGTGAAGAGATCTCTTGATCTGCAAAGAAGAGATCGAACACAGAGAAGAACCCGGATTCAGCAGAGCTTTCATGGGAATTTCCTCGCTGGCCGCTTTTACTCTTATCTCGTCTGCGAAATCTTTTGGAGTTCTCCCAGGAAGATGACGGGAAATGTAACTTGCGATCAACTATTATAATTTAAATCGAAGACCCAGTCTTTCTATATATAAAAAAAAAACGCATTATCATATAGCACCGGTGTTTGTAATAATTATTTTTTATTTCTTACATTTTTCAGAATTTTTTTTAAGCCGAATTTTCCCTCACTGCAATTTAATTTGGCAATCATATCATATACATTTAAAGAATAAATTACTAGAAAACACCGAATGATAGAGGTTATGTCCGAATGCCAACTATTTTTCAAGTCAAAGAGTCAGCTTCGGTTGTCGAATTTCACGGCGCGACTCGCGAAGAGCAACTAATTCGGCCAGGCCCATACAAATTATCTCAACCGCGGTTATATGGACCAAACCCAATATCTTTTAAACACAATTTCCCGGACCCCCATCTTTTTAGGCCATAAAAATAAAATAAAAAGGGAAAATGACATTTTCCTACACCAACTTTGCAAAATGTGACCTTTTCCTATACGAATTTTTAATTTGACAAAAAACTACACCAAATTATCAAATGTGCCAAATCGATACACGAACTACCCAATTTAACTGCAATTTCCTACACAATCCGAAAACGGTGTTAAGTGTCCGTTAACCGCGTATATATATTTATATTTTTATTTGTATATAGATATGAATATATATGTATATTTTTTTGCTGTTTATTTATTTTATTTTAAATTTAAAAAAAACGATTTTTTTCATATTTTTTTCGGAATTTTTTTTTAAAAAATATGACGTGGCATGCTGATGTGGCAAAAAATCTATGTGGCGTGCCATGTCAGCCGCCACGTGGCGTGCCACGTCAGCGGTTAACGGACACTTTACACCGTTTTCGGATTGTGTAGAAAATTGCAGTTAAATTGGGTAGTTCGTGTATCGATTTGGCACATTTGATAATTTGGTGTAGTTTTTTGTCAAATTAAAAATTCGTATAGGAAAAGGTCACATTTTGCAAAGTTGGTGTAGGAAAATGTCATTTTCCCTTTTTATTTCATTTATCATCATGAAATGGAGTGCTATGGTCTCCTTTATGTTTGTTAATATTTTCTTTAAGATGTTGCAGAAAATTAAAGAGAACTTTATATGTTTTAAAAGTTTGGAACGCAAGAAGAAGATTGGATACTCAAAGACGAATCAACACATTCTCGTAGCAAGATTAGTTTGTTGATATCCTCCCAAACTAATCTTGAGGGGGAATGTTGAAGAATAAAATAACGACAATCAATCAAGAGCATCCGATGAGCAATTGTCCATATATGTGAATGATGAGTGGTTGCATGATTTGCATGAAAAGCATGTTACGTAAGAAATGGAAGAACATGAAAGGAAAAATTGATGACGAGTTGGCTGGATTGACGAAAGTAAACTCATATGACCGTTGGAGATAGACAAAATCAAGACAACATCAATTACATTGAAGATGAATATCCATCACATGAAACTTTCCTTATTGCCTCATGTGACATCTACTTTCCTTTATTTCTTTATTTACTAGCCGTTTATATCCTTAATATGTCTTAGCTTCTCGTTAGAATTAGATTATTTATAGATGTAAATGTTGTACAGAGAGATATAATGGAATAAGGGACATTGTCCCCTTTTACGACAAAAGCATCTTTGGCTTCTTTTTCATTACTCTTCGTCTTCTTCTTATTTCAAAAGTTTAATCTCAAATAAACTTATAAAAATCTTCACTATATGCCGGTATCGTACAGATTGAAGCGTTTGTATGAATCACAACAAACGGCTTGCCTCGCATTCTACCGTTGATGGAGAAATGCAACATCCATCAGATGCTTTGGCGTGGAAAAACTTCAACATGGTATTTCCTCAATTCGCTGCTGAGCCTAGGAATGTGTATCTATGTTTGTGTACTGATGGATTTAGTCCGTACGGACAGTCTGGCATGCAGTATTCATTATGGCCAGTTATACTTTCTCCGTACAACTTACCACCTGAGATGTGCATGAAAAGAGAATTTATGTTTTTGACATTGTTGATTCCTGGGCCAGAACATCCGAAGAAGAGTTTTGATGTGTATTTACAGCCGCTCATTAAGGAGTTGAAGGATTTGTGGGACATTGGAGTCCCTGCTTACGACGTAAGTGTGAAACAAAATTTTACACTGAGAGTGGTTCTTCTTTGGACGATCAGTGATTTTCCGGCGTATGGCATGCTATCGGGATGGAGCACACATGGAAGACTTGCATGTCCGTTTTGCATGGAGGAAACAGAAGCGTTTCAGTTGAGACATGGGAGAAAGACGTGCTGGTTTGACTGTCATCGCAGATTTCTTCCAAGGAATCATCCGTTAAGACAAAATCGTACGCTTTTTACCAAAGGTAAAATCGTTACTGAGGAAGGTCCTGTTATGCAAACCGGAGAGCAAATTTATTCTGAGCGAATAAATAGTGGATATTTGGATGATTTGGAAGCTTCTGTGCATTGTGGAGGAAATTTTGGGCATAAGAAGTGCAAAGGATTTGATGATTGGCATAACTGGTATAAGCGTAGTATTTTTTGGGATTTGCCTTACTGGAGTTCGCTAACGCTTCGACACAATCTGGATGTTATGCATATAGAGAAAAACTTTTTTGATAAAATCATCAACACCGTTCTGAATGTGCCAGGGAAAAGTAAAGATAACATCAACTCGAGGAAGGACTTGAAAGATATATGCAAGAGAAAAGAGTTGGAGTTGACACGTGATCGTCACGCACCTGTGCCGATATTCAGACTCACAAAACCAGGTAAAACGGTCTTGTTTAAATGGTTAAAAGAAGAGGTTAAATTCCCTGATGGATATGCATCCAAATTGGCGCGATGTGTTGATACCGATTCATTAAAACTTATGGGAATGAAGAGTCATGATTGCCATGTATTCATGCAAAGACTTATTCCTATTGCATTTGCGGAGCTATTGAAACCGAGTGTCCACGGAGCGTTATGCGGTATCAGCACATTCTTTCGAGATATATGTGCAAGATCTCTGAGAAGAAGTAATGTAGAGGTTTTGAAAGGCAACATTCCTGAGATACTTTGCGCATTGGAAAAGGTATTTCCACCTTCATTTTTTGATGTGATGGAACATTTACCTATTCATTTACCAGATGAGGCGATATACGGTGGTCCAGTACAGTTTAGATGGATGTATCCATTTGAGCGATTTTTTTTCCATCTGAAGAAGAAGGCTAAAAACAAAGCAGCAGTGGAAGGATCTATCGTCAAACAGTATTTGTTAGAGGAGATCTCCTACTTCAGTTCTTTCTATTTTGAATCTCATATTCAGACGAAGAAAAGGAGGGCTATCAACGAAGACGATAGAAGTTATCTCTACCACTATGATTCATGTTTCGGACTTATTCCCGAAAGTTTTCAGCCTACTGGACGCCTCGGAGGCAAATCTGAAGAATATTGGTTAACTGTACAAGAGTACAATCACATCGCCACATATATACTGTTGAATTGTGAAGAACTTAAGCCATACGAAAGGTACACATTTTTTAATCTTAGATGTGATTAGAAATTAATTAATTACATATATATTTGCTAACAACTTTTTTTTGTAAGACTTTTTGACGAGGATGTTTTGGCAACATATCCTAACCTAAGTGGGGAGGAACTTGAAGGAATGAAGGAACAACATTATGCATCTTGGCTTCGAGACTACGTAAGTATTCTAGCTATATATATATATGTACGTGTATGTATTTGTGTATTAATTTAATTTTTATGCGCAGATTCAGTCATGCAGTGATAGAATTCCGGCATGGATCAGAGATATATCACATGGACCTGGAAGAAAAGTCATTTGCTAGTCGATAATGTTCACCCGAGGATACACGTTTCACACTTACGATCATGGAAAACATAAATCCACGTTCAATTACGGAGTTTGTATAAAAAGCGGGTCATCGGAAGATCCTGATTTCTTTGGGGTTCTTCGTCAGATTTTCCAACTCCAGTATCCAGGATTAGTCGGGTTGAAAACAATCATATTCAGATGTGATTGGTTTGATACAACGTCGGGACGCGGCTCACGGAAAAATCGATGGGGAGGTATTGACATAAACCCGAAACTAGGGGTGGGCGTTTCGGGTTTCGGTTCGGTATTCAAGCGGTTCGGTTCGGGAACGGTATTTTCGGTTTTATAAAAAGTGTACCAAACTAGAACCGAATGTTAAACGGTTCGGTTCGGTTCGGTTTTAGTATCGGTTCGGTTCGAAACGGTACCATTATATGAATACCAAATAAGTATCGAACTATACTATTTACACATATATTAGTGGAATATTCGAATTTTGGTTCGGTATTCATACGGTTCGGTTCGGGAACGGTTCATTCGGTTCCATAAAAAGTGTACCAAATTAGAACCAAACGTTATTCGGTTCGGTTCGATATGGTTCGGTTTCGGGACGGATCGGGTCGGTACTAAATTCCCGAACCGAAGTGCTCACCCCTAATACAAATAACATGCGCAAGTAACATAAACCCCAAACCAAAAGAAAACAGAACAAGAGAATGAGCTCTTGCAGGTCTTGAATGGATCTTATGGATTCACATATCCACAGGCCCGAAGGGATTCCACTTGCTTTGTTCATCGGAAGGCATAGGGTCCCCAAAAAAGCTAATCTTTGGTCTCCTCTGATCTTTCCCAAGTGGGAAATTCCGAAACGAATCCGAGTTCTTGAAGAATATGTAACATGCAACGGCTGACACCAAGGACAGTCCCAATAGCAGCACATAAATCTGCCAGTCTGCATATACATACAATACATATATGTATGTATGTATGTATGTATGTATGTATGTATG